TCTCTCTTTGTGTGTGTGTGTGTGTGTGTGTGTACCTTGTGATGTTGGTTTGGATGTTGTAAATCAGAGACGATACACAGCGCCTTGAGATTCTCTGGGAGCTCAATCCGTCCTGCCTAGCGTGTCATTTCATTAAAAAAAAAAAAAAAAAAAGGCACTGCTGGTACCCAAGCGCATGTGGCGGAATGGTACACAGTGCTTCACTCGCATGTAACTGCTGCTAATCAATACAAGCGAAAAAAAAAAGAGCCTGCTGTGCTGGTACCCAAACTCGATTCCTGGGGGGGGAAAGGGGGAAAGAGCAAACCAGATTGATACAATAAGGTTATGGTCTACTGCCTTCAGAACAAAAAACGAATTCAAAAAGAAAGGAAGAAATGGTGCAGCACGCGTCTTAATTGTAGTGTCACTTCCCACGCAGCCACCTCTGAAATGCTGCATGCGGCACACAGTCCTCAAGCAGTCACACTCTTCATGTCCTTGTGCCTCAAGCAGCCTTTGTGACGCGCTCTTCATGTTTCATCTGTACCTAATGAATGTTTCAAGTAGATTGCATGTGCAGAGTCTCTCTGCTATTTTCTTTAGGCTGACTCAAGACCCAGCCACATGTATTGTCATATATGCGTGCCAGCGCTGCTCTCTCCCTGGCATCAACATTCGCTGGGCCGGAGCACATTATTAGATCAGATCATGTTTTGACCACGCAGACAGTGCCGAGGGCTTTGCTGGGAGAAAAACAGGACTTTTCCACATCTAAAGGCCTTGCTCCACGACACATCATTCTAGACCAGGTGCATTTGGGCGCTTCCTGGACCAGGTGCATTTGGACAAGTCCAACATTTTGAATGTATGAGGTCCAGAGAGCATCCATTGGAAATGCATGTAAACTTTTGAAGTATTTTGTAGTGGAGCAAGGTCAATATCCTGCATGCCATTGCATGATGTGTTTGTCTACGATCTACAACAAACTCCTAAAGCTAAGTGGGTCGCGGAGGGAACCCTGCGTGCCGATAACTTTCCTTTTCGGTGACTTCTGGCCTTAAGATGTCGATTCGGAGGGTTGGGATTGCCCAAAACGGTGGTTTCTAACGAAATGTGTCCGGGCCTACCTGGTCGACACGTGGTTCTCTGTGGGATTAGCTTTTGGGCCGGAAATACGGTGTTGTGCCCTTCGATAGAGCGTTGTTGAATGGTGTTTGCTTTAAGTGCGGCGCGATCTGTGTTGGAGATTGTCAGAGGATTGAGGTGGTGCCGGTTTTTTCCCCAAATGCTGTCAGAAGGCACTGCCATTTTTTTCCCTCTTTTGCGAGAATTGAGCCCTCGCGGAGCCCTTCCTGTCTCTTATACACATCTAGATGTGTATAAGAGACAGGCTTTAAGTGCGGCGCGATCTGTGTTGGAGATTGTCAGAGGATTGAGGTGGTGCCGGTTTTTTTTTTTTTTTTTTTTTTTTTTTTTGTAATTATTAAAACCCCATTATTATGGTTGCCATTTTCTTTATATATTAAAATCCCATTATTAAGGTTGCTGGCAGAAGACACTGCCATTTTATTTTTTCTCTTTTCGGTCAGGTCTTTTCTGCTTCTTCGTTTTCAAGTTGTGCGTTTTCTTTTTCTTTTCCCATGTAGGGGGCCTGCCTCTGCTACCGGCACAATCCAGAAAAGACCAAAAAAATGCTGGTGTATCTTTCCATGTTCTAGCAGAAGATTCACTGTCATTTTGCACATTTGGTTACTTGTTGTGGAGCGAGGCCCGTTGGCGCGTTTCGTTTTCCTCAGCCACAACTAAGAGCCTGGCCACCCTGCTGTCCAAATGGGAAAAGCACAGGCGCACGTTCCCGCAGAGACTTGCCAGATGCATTGATCATTCGGGGCGAAGTCCCAGTAGCATGCGGGCTTGATTTCGAGCAGGCACAGTAGCATGCGGGCGAAGCCGCACTGGCCCTTCTTGTGTCTCTTATAGCTTCCCACCTCTGCCAAAGCAATGAGACAAAGTCCGGTTCCTCAGTGCCAGTGCCACGGGCCCACGCCTCCAGGCCGAGTCTATGTATGCGCATCTTCGGCAGCTGCTGGAGACCATACTCAGAGACAGGCAGGAAGAAGGAGGGGGAGGGGGGAAAGGGGGCCTGCTATCAGCTCAGCCAATGTGAAGTTGCGGACCTGATCGATCGAAAGTCTGACAAACATTCATGAAATGTTAAAATACAAATTTGACTGAAGGAAAAACACTCAATCAAAACGTTTTACTTGACAAGGACAAATTGACGCTCGCCTAGTGCACGCGACGCAGCAGGTTTGCGTTGGTAGCAGCACAAGACAGCCGCCGAAGCGAAGCTGCACGAAGGGGAGGACGAGCGACAGGGCGGAGGGGGGCGGGAGCCGACTGGAAGAAGGGATAAGCGGGTGCAGAAGTTATAGCTGGGAGGCAGCAGGAAAAGGGACGGAGAGAGGTAGGTGCATCATAGCCATCTCGGTGGGGTTGCAAACTTTGATGAAGATCTGCAACAGGTGAGAAACCGAGGGTGCGGAGGGCCTTCTTTTCAACAGGTTGGAGGACTAGGCCATTCGTTGACCATAGCTCGCTCCCCTTGGGGCCCTGCGCTGGGAAACTGGCGCGGTGGGGGCGCCGGGCCGAGGCAACAACTTCCTCGTCAGCCGCGTGCATGCCGACGAAGGTAATGACGTTGGAAGTACGGCAGCGAACTACAAAAAGAAAAAATATTGGTAGGGTGTCTTTGGGCCAAATCTTTGACCCCTTCCCTTTCCCTCTCGTCTCAGTCCCTCTCCTTCACCCTCCAGTCTCTCCACCCTCCCTTGTGATCTTTTTTCTCTTTCCCCTCCCCCGGTCGATCCCTGTCCCCTCTGCTTTCTCTTTCCCCCTTCCTCTTCCCCCTTCCTCCTTCCCACGTTGGGTCAGGTCCATCTCTCGATCGGCCCCTCCCCAGCCTCTATTTGCTTTTTCCCTCCCCTGATCGATCTCTCCTCCTCTCTTCCCCCCCTCTTTTCCCCTTCTTTTTCCCCTTTTCCTTTCCCGTGTTGTGTTTCGCTCTAGACTTCCGCTTTCCATACACGTCCCCCTCTCTTCCCCCTCTTCGTTTCCGTTCTTCCTCCCCGTGCCCCATACACGACTGGTCCGTCTCTTTGCTTCTCTTCCCCCCTCTCCCCCCCTTCTTCTCTTTCCCTCCTTCCCGTGCCGTGTTGGAAGAGAGAGAGCTCCTCCCCTCCTCTTTTCCCCTTCTTTTTCCCCTTTTCCTTTCCCGCATCGTGTTTCGCTCTTCCACTTTCCATACAGGTCCCCCTCTTTTCCCCCTGTTCGTTTCCCTTCCTCCTCCCCGTGCCGAGTCGGCTCCCCCACCCTCATGCAAGTAAATAAAGAAACAGTAATTTTGTTTGTGGGAAAGGCGGCTAGCCACTGAACGGCAGTCATACACGAGCGAGGAATTGCGCGAGTATAGCGAGGGGCCAAACGTGTGTCACATTTTGTGATTATCACTGACCCCATGTTCAGTTCTTTCATCGGTCCTGCGATGTGGAGGAGCACGATAGGGCGAGGTGCTTCCTGCTTTATATGGTGACCGTCGAATACTCTGTGTTCCGTCTCCCTCCTCCTAGTTAGCGTGCACATACATGTTGTCATATCCTCCAGCTCACATATAGTGTGTGTCTGCCTGCAGATTTTCCTCCCTTCTGTTCAGAGGGCTTGTACTTAGTAATCCCTCTCATACTGGTCTGCACCCTTCGTTCTTGCCGTATCTTACTTTCCCCTTCTTCCAAATCCCTAAGTCAGCTCCAAAAGACAAGTGATCAGAGGGAAAGGGCAGAGACTAGGAGTGAGAAACTGAAGTAGCTTGCACAAGAGAACTGGCCACGTGGCAACCACAGTCTAAAAGAAGAAGAGA